AAAAAAAAAAAAAAAAAAAAATCGCGAGAGGGTATCTTTTTTTTCAGGCGATCTCAAAATGTATTACGCCGATTGTAGAAGTGGATAAAGATGAGATGAAGAGCAGGCTTTGGAGGTTTCGGAGAATGAATGAGTTTGGTAAGGCGTAAACTGGGTTTGGCCCAATGATGAACAATGTCATGTGGGCTTGAACAATAATATATTTTCCATTTGATGATTTTTTTTTTTTTTCTCTCTCTCTGGTTAATTGCCAATGTAATTGATGCCGAAAAAAATCTCCAAAGTGAATGATAAATTTTGAGTTTTTTAAAGCTATATGTTGATCGAGTCAATCTACTTTCTCAGATTGAGATGGTCCAAAGTGAATAATATATTAAAACTTGAGTTAAAGTTGTTTTTTGATCGAGTCAATCTAGTTTCTTATGTTAAGATTGAGTTAGTCCAAAGTGAATGATAAATAAAAACTTGAGTTTTTTTAAAGTTATTTGATGATTTGTCAGATACGATTGATTTACCAACAGACTTAATAATTACACGTTGATAAATTTGAATTGTTAATTTTGGTACATACTAGACTGGTTTACCAATTAATGAATCATGAAAAAATCTAAATCATTGATTTTCCTAACCTTATTATAATGAAAAAAGCAACAAATACTTGTGTGTTCATTTAGTACAATTATTATGTGTAATCCATATATAAGGATAACTATATATGATAACTTCTGCATTATTGATAGTTGATACCATACCATAACTTTTAGAGCGCCATCCAACTATTTGTTTGGGGTCACATGGCACTTTTTTTTTTTTTTTTAAATAATATTTTTCACCTGCTTGTAAATAAATGAAGATAGTTTAAACAAGAATTAACACATCTAATATCAACTGTTTTAGAGTTCCAAGTGAAAATCTAAAAGCTTTCTACCTAAAAACACCCTTACATAAGCAATTGACAAACAGGCTTTATAACACCACCTGGAAAATCATCCAACTCAGTAAATAGCAGATTATAGAAAACATGCTGTGCTCATGTTTCTGCTAGGTAAGAGTGAAAAATACAAGGAAAAATTTATAATAAGCTTATGCGAAAATTTCAGAATTCGACTTGTTTGTACAAAAAGTTCATACAGTGAGTGAGCAAGCAAGGGAGGTAGCACTTAATAATATTTGACAAAGTGATACTATCTTTTCCAAGTTTCTGAGTAGCACACATACACAGTGATGCTTGTATAGGCCAAAACATAAGAGCTAAGGGTACCGTTAATTAATGGATCAAAAAGCCTTACTGATCGGCATTAATTCCAAATATACGAACTTTGTGCATATGCGGAAACTTGGCCACGACAAGAACAAAAACGGCAAGTGTATTCAAAAACAGCATAGGGTGCTGATAATCTGTAGTGTGTGATGCAATCAAGTACCTGACATAAGGAAAACCGGAAAAATGAGTTGCAAGTATTCACCCAAATTTTCATTGAAGTTATCAAAAGGAATACTAAAACAAGTATTAGCAGTAGCACAAACATGCAAATAAAGCATTAGACAGGTTATTATCATGCCCGAAGTGTCGAAGCACGATTATAAGCATCTCAAGTTGATTCTATGTTTGCTATGCCAGAGGCCGATTATCATATCTCAAACCCCAAATTTGAAGTATTAAATACAAAATAACTTTATTCAAATATGATCACCACAAATAAGATAATGGATTCATAGTAAAGTGCATTAAACATGAAATTGAAAAGACACTACCCAGACGGGAAACAGATTAATATAGCTAAAGCTACAAGGAAAAAAAAAATCAAATGAAATTACACATAAATATGCTACAAGAATTAGTGATAGTTACAACTGAAGTTGACCTTTAATCTTATCTATTTATTTAAGGCACAAATATCCCAGTTTTAAGGTATCACAAACACGTTGGTTGTATTTTCCTACAAATTACCCGCCTATCGAGGATACAAAAATTCAAATTGTAAAATGAAACAAAATATCAGGGGGAGGGGTGGTTATAATTCAGAAAGATAAATGTCTTTTTGTACTAAAACTACACCTCAAGAGTCCAGGAGATTTTTGTAATTAAAATTTGGATTACAATCAGTGAAAAGCTTCCAGGTAACCTAAGAATTACACCTCGAACCCCGATGAACCATTTTTATAACTTTCGAGGACAATAAACCACGTGAAAGATAATTACAACATTCTCCAGTGTATAAAGCTTCAAGTCCACTTATTTATGCACTGTAGTGGCACTTTATAGCACACATCAATAAGGAGACAAAAAAGATGTCAAATTCATAGGCATGATGGACGCAAGCCCTGAAAAAAACAAATGAATGAATAAAGACTAACAAAGTAATTAAATATTCACTAACTCAACCATGTCAGAGTACTACAGCTATGGAAAGGAAAATGAATGAGGCGATACAACCTCGGCCACTGGCTTATCTAACTGGACTGATGATCCTAAAGCAGAATAAAAGAGTGGGCGCGAGAAAACAATCAAATTTCCAGATTTTTCGATGTTTACGGAACCATTTTCTTTTATTACACTGGCAAAAGGGGAAAATCGATAAAAAGGATATAATGGGTAATCTATCTTAATTCTTAAAGGAAATAGTCTAGTGTGTTGCCCCTCCACCACACATTTTCTTTCTTCCTATTTATTTTATAAAATGGATAAACGGATATAATGGGTAATCTATCTTAATTCTTAATGGAAGTATTCTAGTGAGTTGCCCCTCCACCACACATTTTCTTGCATCCTTTTTATTTTGTAAAAATATTCCACGAAATCACCATCCACCTTAGACCTAGCTAACTTCTTCAATAAAACAAACAAAAACTCAATCTTAGATGAGCACGACACAAAGATGATACGACCTTTAGGAGTAATGCCTGACAAGAAAATTTCTAAAAACAAATCACAGAGTCAATGACCAATGCAATCAACAACAACTAAATCACGCGTTTGCTAACCAGAGGCACTATCAAGTATCAAAACATATGATAAAATATATTCAAACGGCTGATCAGTACTGAAATTTCCATATAAGCAATCAATAGAATACTCACAGCACCACTGGCACAACAGTCAAAAACTTCCTGTTGCGTGTGAGCTGCTTGCCGCTGTCTATCTGCTCCCACCAAGTCAATCTATTATAAATACCCTGATCATCTGCAAAAGGTGTTCCTTTCTTCCAGTGAAAGAAGTGATATGTGACCTGAGCATAAAAGGAGGAAACCAACCATTTAATACGTAAAGTGCCTCGAGAAAAGGCATTTAAAAAGTCCTAACCAAGTGTAACTGATATGATAAATGCTTCGTGATCGAACTATGTGTACATCACTGCATAAAAATATTATACAACCTAACAAAACCCAAGCCAATGTTTAATAGTGAACAATCAACAATACAAACATTGTTTTGAATTGAAGTTCATTTCTTCTTATTCAAACGGACTATTGTGCTACATATATTTTGCATGTTATTCATGTAGCTATTGAATAGGAGAAGAAAACGTAAACTTATGCAGATGAAGTCCCACACAAACATAGGATAATATTTCATGGTAAGATTGTTAAGCCCTCCCAGTCAAAACAATCAGTAAAACTACATATCCTGAAGCAAAATGAAGTAAGATTCTTGCAGACTAGGTTAAGCAATGCAATTTCAAATTGTAATATGCAACGAGCTAATGCATAAAACAGCCAAAACAATGTTAGCAACCAATAATAGACCAATGTAGGGAGTCCCAAATGCATATTCATTTGGCGCCTCTAAAACTGAAGTATCATGTGGGGATTTACTGTTTTTCAGAACTGCTAACTCTTTTAATAACATCAGTAACCATATATAAATATAACAAATAAAAAAATCCGACAATCAAGACATGAAAAGCTGAACCAGCTTTCGACTAGAATTCAAAAGGCTAATAAATTCCACAACCTCAAAATAAAAAGATGTAAAACAGTCAAACTCTCTAAACAGCCACACTAGATCAATCACACAAGCAACGAGAAAATAAACGAGCAAGCTCAAGATGCAACCCTCAACACACCACACCGAAAAAACAATATCCTACAAAACAGAACTAAAAAAGATCAAAACTCCAATAACCCGATCACACCCTGAAATGATCCCAAAACGAAAACCCCAATATAATCACCAAACGATCGACAAAAACACAATAACAAAACTGAACTCCTCCATAAAAGCAAACCCATTAACATAAACAGAATCACTATTCTCATTAATACAAAACAGATCTAGCCAATCAGAATCGAACCCGCATAACAAGTAAATACGTACAACGAAATGAGAGAGATGGACGGTCGTCCACGCCATGCCCGGAGAGCAGCCGAAGACAGAAAGCACGACCAGCCACGAAAAGAACAATATGAGGATGTAGGTGGTCCACACACCGGGGTACGTGAACCACTCCGTGTTCCGATTCAGATCCGTCGTCGGCGCCGCCCGCACGTACAAGTTCGCCATCGTTGAAAAATTCCCCCTTTTCTACAAATTTCTTGAGCTAATTGGACAATTATGGATTCCAATTTGAGTGATGATCGAAAATTTCTACAGAGAAGGGCTATAAGGGGATGAGCGATTTGATCGAAGGGGATTTGGGCGAGATACAAATGTTGTTTGTTACAGTGTTGTGAAAATTTGGAAAACCAACAGTTGGTTTTTTCTTTTCTTTTATTATTGTTTAAACTTTAAAGTTTCACCTATCATTTTGTGAAGAAAATATATGGTAAATAATTGAAATTGAAATTAAACTATTGGTCAAATTCAATGTAGGTAGGTATAGTAAGTCTTGTGTAGGTCTAATTATTAGGACAATTCATATTTTAAAAAGAAAAATATATAAATAAAAGTATGACATTTGATAGTATAAATATATGTTTTGTTAAAAAATTATAACGGATCAACTTACTTAACGGTTAAATTGTCTCACACAAAAATTTGTATAGCATACATAACATTTCTATTTTCACAAAGCTAATGTAACTTAGCTACAATTCCAACCCTAAACATATTTTCAATAAAATTTTATACTCATATCATTGAATATTATAATTTTATTTATGTTTTTTAAAATGTCATATTTAAATATAAGAGTATTTTATATTATTTATAAAATAAGAGTAAGCCTCTCTACAAACATCCTTCCATTTTTATAGTAGTGCATGTCTTGTGCGATACACGGAGAAGTAATATTAAAGTAATTTTTTAAAATTAAATGTTGGACTAAACGATCATATTATGTTATTTTAAAAATTAAATGTTGGATTAAACAAACATATTAAGCTGTTGAATAAAACTAATATTAATTTTAAGGTTATTTTGACGCAGCCTTTCAAGGTATACACACAAAATATTGGTATGTATATTTATTGAAACCATACAAAAATTTAAACTTATTCCCTAATTTAATTTTTCTCATTCAATTTATCCATTTATTAATTGCCTTAAATTTTATTGATATCATTTACTTTACCAATTAGATCAAATTAATGTGAATAATATATTTACTTTATCAATTATATCAAATTAATGTAAAAAATATATTAGTGAGATTTTGTAATTCAATTTTTCTAATCATTTCTAAAGAATATTAAATTTAAATTAATTTTAAATGTTAATGTATCTAAAATAAGCGAGATTATCTGCATTTGTTTTATAAATTTGTTACATAATAGTTTAATAAATATTGTACAGTTTTGAGAAAACATCTTTCGAAAAAATATCTTATTCTTCTTTACCGCAATTATCACTTAAAAAACCATGTACACATATATTATTATATAATATCACTGAATAAAAGATTGTATAGATTAATCAAAATTCAAATATGTGAACATTAAACATAAAGATATGACGCACATACGTAGAAGGAACAAATTAAAAACTATAATGTACCACTTTTCAATAAAAATAAGGTCTACATGTAATATGGACAACTCACAAATTACCCTTATATGTTGTAGGTTGAAAAAAAAAAACCCACATCTGCATGAAATTGAAGAAATTGATAATTTACGTGAATATATTACGGATTTAAAAAAAATATGACATATAAATTTACTCTATGGTGTACATTTTATTTATTATTTCCTTTGAAAATAAATAGTCACAAATGTGCTGCAAATTAATTATCATATTTTAAATTTGAAATTGTTATTACTTATTATCATATTTTGAGTTCAGAATATTTTAAAATTTATTTATCAAATTTTAAAGACGGAAAAATTATAAGCAGGTAAAATAACACAAATTCGAAAATTNACTTGTTTGGTTCTTGAAGTATTTGCATTTTGTATTTTGGGTGCAACTTTGCTTCTTGTTGCCTCATTTTCGAATTTGCAACTATCCAGAGACTTTGTAAGAAACAATTGTTGCTTTCGAGTTTTGTGCCGGTTAGTATGTTCAACTGTACTAAAAAAAATCGAATCTTTGTATTACATACAGATTCAAGAATACTTTAAACACTGTTCAAGACTGAACCATGAAATTCAAGAATACTTTAAACACTGTTCAAGACTGAACCATGAAACAAAACTCAGAACAAAGGTATTGTTAAGAATATAGATAGATCAATCTCATTTCAATGAACTTTGGCTTTCATCAATTGCCTATTATAGAACACACAAACCAAAAAGATTGAACATAAAATAAAATTTATACAAAGTTGATAACTTGATCATACACATATATATCAATTGATTGAATTTGGGATATAATATAACCCATGAAATCATAAACAGACTTACACACACCATCCATCCACAATCTTCACAGAGAAATGAAAAATATTTAGAGCTTACTTATATGAACAGAAAACGAACAATGAATCAATACTTTGAACAGATATGAATCATTTGATATAATAAACACCCGATTAATACGGCAAATTATACCATTTTGACTACCAGTTTTCCTTAACGATCCTCGATTTCTCCAAAATGAACTTTCCTTCCTTGTACTTTTGCGATTCCTCATAAGCTTTCACGTATTTCCAACCCAACACTTCACCACAGTCACAACAATAAACATCGGCAATTGTATGAAGACCAGTCATGAGCTGCCTATCTTCCTTACGCCCCACAGAAATATTCATGGCATGGGAGAATAGAAAAGCTCGACCATTTCTACCCTGTCATTTTAACATATTTTCTTCATTAGCATTTTAGCAGCAAATTATTTGACTCTCATTCAATTCATACTCAAAATCTAATTCAACTTTAACTCAACCCTACTATCCTTAAATATTATCAATATAATTAAATAATATAAACCAATCATTCTTACACATCACATCACTTTTAATTCACTATTCATCCATTCACATAATTTTAACTGACCATCACTTTACATTATCTCTCTACTAGTTTTACATCAAATCAACTTTAATTATTTTATTTTATATATTATTTTAATATAATTTTAAAATCACACTAACAACTAATCATACCATATTTTTCAAAATTAACCATGATTACCCAAAAAAACTCATTTTGAGCGGATTTATTTGTAAACAAGCACGCCCTAAACCAATCTTCATGACTATAT